GGTGAGGATTAGCACCGTTTTTCAATAAAATGCCGTATCTTCCGTATTTTGTTCCAGTCGTGCTCCGTATTTCTACGAAATACGGAGTATAAGGAATATTCCGTATATAAAGAGGCCTGCATATGCTATACAGGAAGCACGTAGGTAACGGAGCTCGAACTTGCTTTTGATCAAACCTTTTGGAGATCTCAGGTGTGAGTGATCCATTTTTCAACTCTCACTTCTGTGATATTTTGAGCCAATATGTAAACAGCGTCGCAAACAGCACGGCTTTGAGGTATCACGGTCGGTCTGACAGGTATGGAATTTTCAGGAGTCAATTTTGGTAAAACCTACAAGATGTCGTATGTCGAGGGTTGGATTGAACAAGGATAGCATGCCAGCTTCTTTGACTTCCACTTTAAATACCGCCTGAATATTATCAAAGACATGAGTAAGAGCGCCGCCCACAAAATGAGCAAGTTTTTTAATAACTACTTGCATAAACTAATTAGCACGTAACCTCAAACCACTTTGCTCTCTTCAGCTCGATTATCTTAAACTAGCGCTCGCACGTCACAGCAGGCGATTCTTTGTAAGCAATTCTCGTTTTATTGTAAGAAGCGACTTCGTTTTTGTAGGCATTTGTAATTTTGCTTCGGACATGGAACGAAGCTGAAAGACACCAATTTTTTAGTACCGCGAAAAATTTACCCTGATAAAAACACTGATCTAGAACTTGGTACGATATCAGAGAAATGGCGCTTCAAAAATGAGAAGTTCGTATGACACTTTCGGTGTCCGCTAACTCTCACAACTCTTAACAAGGGAAGTATAATTGCCCTCTTCGGCGTTGCGAACACCCGCAAATTTTGCCGTTTAGACACTTTCTGTAGCAAAAATGTAACGGGGTTACACGTACCCTGGTAGCAGGGGTGTGTGTCACACGAGATGGGCATGGTGTGACTGCACCCAAACAGAAACACGGTACGTGAGTTATGCATGTATTTAGATTTTTACTATATATATTTAAAAAATCTATATATTTAAATTAGGCGGCTTTGCCGCAGATAAAAAAATAAACAAAGTCAGTTTTTGGATTTACACGGAAGTGTTAATTAGCCTTGGGTCAAGAAACTCGTACTTGTTCTAAGTACAGAACGAAAGGTCGGTGACCTAGCTTATGCTTCCTTAAAGCGCAAAGCTACGGCAGCCGCTGCAGAAAACGCATCTTCTTATCGAAGTGCCTATTCTCGCACGCGGCCTTATAGCTTGAGGACCACAAGCCCGAAATGCGAATCTTTCACATAAAACGTGACCAAACTTTGCCTCACTTCTTCAAAAAGAAATCTTCCGCATCCATGCTTATGAGGGTTGGACGCTTAATACAACGGGTTGGTCGTGCATCGTATACATCGCACAAACGCTGAGTTTGTACGTTCCTCCGAAGAGGGAAGCCGAGAGCCTTTTCCGTTTTAGTTTGCTGTTCTATCTAGAGAGCCCCAGGCCTATACGTCCTAATATAGCTAACGGATTTCTACGAATAGAAGACCTTCTACTATTACAAGCCCCCACCGAATTTTCGACAATGTTCTAGAAATAGAAGACCGCTTCGATTAAAAGACCTCTTCAAATAAAAGGCCGCTGTAAACACTTTAGCA